GGCCCCGGCCGCCCCTCGGCCTCGCAGAGGCCGGGCAGGGCGTCAGCCTTTCAGTTGCGGGCAGTGGCTTTGTAAAGCTGCGGAGCGCAGAGAAATGCTTCGCATCCGAACCCCAGCTGCGCTTCCCTTAGGCAGTTTCAGGGGCCGTGGGCGTTATGTAAAACGGCTGACATCAGCCGCGCTTCCGTTTCCGCTGTGCGGCGCAAATGGGCGAAAGGCTGCAGGTCAAGAGGAGAGAAATACCAGAAGGGGAATTTCCTGACCTAGATTTGAAATGCTGCTTTCTAGCATGTGACCCAGACAATTTGCACTGACTAGCTGCAATCTGCTGGAGTCGCTTCTGTGTTGTCCAGAGTGGAGCATGATTAAGTGCCAAAAAGTCACACTGCGCTTTCCTTTACTCAGAAAGAAGTGAAGAACACATCTGTTACTAAAAGTGGAACGCCTAGGCCTGTTTCTATGTGCAGTCACACAGCCCGCCAGAACAGCCTTCTACGTCAGCAATCCACAGTTCGCATTAAGAAACAAGGGAGACAAAGGGGTTTATTGCAGATTGTCCTATAATTGTTCCTATCTACTTTGATCTCTAAACAGACTTGAGACAATACAAAGATGCTGTTAAAGCAGAGGATTGCACAAGTGAATTACAAAATGCTCATGAATGGCATTAACATAGGTGGGATACTTAAGAAATAGGTGGGTGAGGTGACATAATCCTACAGCAGTTACAGATGTTATAATAATATTACAGTTGACAAGAACCAAACAGCAGAGTCTCAAAACAAGGCCCTGGGTGATGGATGAGGGGCTGCTTAGCCATGTACCTCTCACTGTATTATATAGGCTGGCTGCTCTTCACATACCATATTTTGCTAAAAGAGAGGCTCCAGGCTTCTAATTATCCACTCCTCCCAGGAAACCTGCACCACTTTCAAAATCACTTTTATTTGAAAGTAAAGCTCACTATCCTACTTTTGTTACTACAGACTCCTCTCTCCTTTCAGGCAGCTGAAAGAAGTTGAAGACTGCTTAAACAAATCGGAGAATGGTAGACTGCTTCACATGCACTGACTAAACCATAAAATAAACTTTGGTTAACTAGTCAACCTAGATTCCTTGTTGTCTCTTGACTAACCTACAGACTGAGGTATTCTCAAAAATGCATGCTTTTATTAGCAAAATTAACTTCTAAGAGAAATAAATCTTTGAAGTCAAAAACTGGTAATAGTAAAAGTATCAAAAATATAGCTTTCCAGAGCCACTAATCAATTAAATTACTCCAAGATTTCACTCTAATCTTGCTACAAATTCTATTTCACAGCCATTGTTCTGCTAGTCTATACAGGTACTCTTGTTGAAGTATGTAGATAATCTGTAACTCAATATAGGTTACAGGGGGACTTACATGACTGTGGAATTATGAACCCACTGATACCTGTTCAACCATCAATTCTACTGTAGATTGCTAGTTTAAAAAAAAAATTACTTATCAGAATATATCAATTCAAGTAAAATTATTTGCCCAAATAATAAACATAACCAAGCTTTTTCACCTAAATATACAAGACTGTCATACTTTAAACCTAAAACACAGTCTCCAGGTAATAATGTTGAAGTTATTCTAATTTCTGTCATAACTACAATGGTTATGAAAACTCTAACCAAATGTTCAAAAAGTGATAAATATTTTGTGATCCCATTCAAAGACTCTTCTTTTTTTGTTCATGAACCCTGACAGATCTCTTGTTGACAAAACCTGTATGGTTTCTAGACTGAAGTCTGAAATGCTTACATTTTCTTCCAGCACCTTTTGCTGTGGGACAAGTCAAGTTCCTATTCCAAATAACAGCAGACTTAGCACAGTCAGGCTAGTGTTGTGTACTTATCCTGGGGAATGCCTCCTATGTCCCAGTTAAGTGATGTGGACTGGCTTGCATCTATTCTAGTGAAGTCTTAGGGCTTTCAGGATGGTCAGATCCATTTTATTTGTGTCGAGGAGTGCACTGAGTAACACAGACCCTGCGATCAGAAACCCAGCCTCCACTTGTCGGCCTCAGACATGACTAATGTCCATGTCAACGTGCTCTGTTTAAGTCCCAGCCTGACACAGCTCATCAGCCTCCACTTCACACTTGGTGCAGAGCCATGCTGCCTCTTGCAGCTGCTGCAGTCATTCTGGCAAGACTTGCACCTTTGAGATATTCTCAGAATTGCCCGCAGGCTGTACGACAGGGGCTAGGTATTGCCTGGCAGGAGAACGTGGGACCACAGGCCTCTCCTTCATTCTAGATAGGCTTGGAGGGCAAACAACATTGCCCCATTCTTTTTTTCTGTCACCTCCAGACATCAGCCTAACCCATAGCCATTGTTTAGTCAAATCCCCTCATGTTCGAGCGGCAGTTTTAGGGGAGGGAGAGAAACAGTGAGTGGTAGGATTACATCCCTCTCTGCAACTGGGACAGCCAGTGCTAGGTACAGAACCGTTAAACAATCCTGATCACATATGAGGCCCTATGTGAACAGCTGGGATTCATCCTGAAGCATCAGCACCATCAGGAGATGGCACTCTTCAGGGAGAATGATCCATCCTTGTACCCAATGGGGTTATTATAACTCTGCGGGGCAGAGCCTTTCCTGATTAGTGACTGGTGGGCAATCAGTTCAGCTTGTCCAAATCTACCGTCAGTGTAACTATAACATTGTGTGGCAGATCCCTCCATCCTTTGTAATTCTCACCACTGGCACCTTTAGGTAATGGGAAAGGCAATCCTACACAGGTTCCTGGACCATGAAGAGGGAGAAGAAGTGAGATTTAAGAGGAGATACAGATGTGATACCAACCCCAGATGGAGTCTCCTACAAGGAATTTGTAGCTACGTATTGATGGGGCCTCAGCTATTCCTGGAATGCTTTCCTCTGCCTTGAGTTTCCACCTCAGGAAAGATGTGAGAACTGCAAAGAATTTAAAGGAGAACAGAAAGAATAAGAACGGAAGTGGGCTTTTTCACCAGAGGATGAAGGCTGTACAAAATGAGTCTCTTTAGCCTAAAGAAGAGAAAACTAAGGATATGATAACAGTCTTCAAATATGTAAAAGACTGCTATAAAGTGAACAGGAGCAATCAATCTGCCCTTCATGCCTCTGGTATGTTGGTAAGAAGTAATGAGCTCAAATTGCAAGACATAACTTCATTATTATGAAAGCTTTCTGATGGTAGTGAAAATGAAACACTGCTGTAGATTACCGAAGTAGACTATGAAACCACCTTCCTAAGACAGCTTTAAGAACAGACAACATAGCATCTATCAGAAATGGTGTCAGTATAAACAGTTCTGCTCAGGGCAAAGTGACCTACTCAGGTTAATTCCAACATTTTCTCTGTGAAGTGGAATACCTCACACAGTTGAAGCCTGCTCTGTTGTCCCATGGGACCTATTTTCATGATTAGCTTTTGCAGTTTGATGGAGGCAATCAGCTTTATGGAAAGCTTGAAGTGGGAGACTAATATCTATGACTATTAATACTTTCATAATGATATTTTGCCTATCAGTGTTGATTTATGCATTCGTTCCTTCCTCATGCATCCTTATGCTTGTTCTGTCATGTATATGAAAGAAAATAACTTCAAAAATAATAAAGCTCTTACCTTATCCTCTTTCAAATTCCTCTCAAGGGCCTATTTCTCCCATGATACTTCAACATGATGCCTTTCCATTAGCTAAGCAACCAGCAGAAAGTTCTCCAGGGAGCAGTACGTGGCATAGGAGCAGCGAGACCTTGGTTCAGTTCTCTACTTCAGATGCAATATTGGTGCCTCCTTGTGTCATAGCTCCCCATATAGAAATCAGGGATATCTCCCTACAGAGATTGATTTGAAGATAAATACACTAAGGATTGTGTGACAATATGCGATCAACCAGCATAAGACCTACTGATGAAAAGCAGTACATAAAAGCCTGATAGTAGTAGTATTTGTTTTGCTTTTATTCTCACTTTTGTCAATTCATTTCATGCCATTTGTGTAGTTTGACTAGAAAATAGTCTGTCAGTTTCCTGGAGCAGGAATTGCACTAGTTACAGTGGGGTCTCAGCCTTAGGTTAGGTTTCTGGTATTACTGCAATATAAATAGCTGTTCCAGCAGTTTGATAGTTTGGTTATGGAGTTAAGTTCCCCCTCGTGAATAATTTGTATACTACTTTCTGGATTAACTCATGTGTATCTGCATTTAACTATCTGCTGCTGTGAAATAACAGTCTTTAGGGAACAAATGTAGGTCTCTTGACTGAGTTCCCATTCACATTGTGTACACTGAAGTTCTGGATGTAGCTGGAGGGCTTTTAAATCACAGTTATCTAAATCTTTTCACATTGTTCAAGGTGTGCAATGAGATACTAGACTCACTGTAGTGGACTTCATATTTTGCTGGAATGTTTCTTTGTATCAGTTACTTGTAAGGTGCAATATTTCTTATTTGACCCTAATCATAGTAGGTTCCAAGTAAAAAATGGAATTTAATGAATATCTGGTCAGGAAAATTTATCACCACTTCAGGACTTAATTCTCCAAAAAAATCGCAATTAATTTTCAAGTCTGTGCATCTAGAGTTTCACCTATGGGCAGGAGGGACATGGTGGCATAGCTCTGAAACCTGTGTGAACCTCTGTGTCTTGCAGAGAATAACAATACAGCTAAAATACAGCTAATCAACACCTTGTTCCTGTGCAAGAGAGTGGTCTTTGCGTACAATGAGAACAGACTTCAGTGGGAACACGCTGTCTTTTTCTTACCTTTTTGCATTGACAGGCCTCTGCTGAGTTCCTGTTAGCACTCTGAATGCAATTCTCCGCTCCCTTGGAAGGATAGCGATCTTCACAATTTAAAAAGAGGTAACATAACGTACCGACACATTGTGGGACTGCTGTTTCTCATCACTTCCCTGAGGTGAACCACTGACATGTTTTCATAAAATATGCCTAATTTATTCATATAAAATCTAACTGATAAGTAGAAGTGCTGAGAAGAAAACCTAGCGCACAGAACAATTTTGGAAGTACTATTATTGTGGCAACAAAGAGAACTACCATTTAACTAAATAACGCCAGCAGATATACAAAGTGGTAGTTTGAAGTGTGCAATTATTGCCAAGCCAATGCCGCAGCATTTCTACAGTTCCATAAGCTTTTTTTTCCCACATGCTCCTGAGCACATCTACAAGGATGAGTGTAACACCAACTCAACATGAGATTTCCTCATGTCTTCAAAGATGTGCATTTTTAGAACTGTGCACAATGACAGTTTCAAATAACATAATTTTTAATGAGTTTATAGTGTAATACAAAATAAAGTAGCAAAATACTTTACACTTTCACAAAGGTCTATATAACAAGGTCTCTCAGAGCTCTATAATGCAGTAGTTCCTCAGGAGAGCAGAGAGAAAACATGTTGCTAAGGACAAAGACTACACTCTCATGCAACCCATACACAGGCTGTGAAAAGAAAATATTCTTCTCATAAATTATCTTGCCCTGTATGAAGTTCAACAGATCAATGAACATCACCTAAGGTAGCATGAGAGCCTTTGAGATGTAGGTATCAGTTGTGTAAAATTAATTGATGGAAACACCTCCAGCCTTAGATGGGATGATGAAACAGCAACTGTACACACATCTAGATGAGAAGGTAAAGAGTACAGTAGTCAACTTAAAATGCAAAAAGAATTTTGAAAAAATTCAACAGAACTTTATTGCAGCCTGAAGAAGTTCATGACCCTAGTCAGAACTAACTGGGGTTGTTAATGTAATAATACAAACCTGCGCTTACTGACCTACCCTTACTGACTAGGTAGCAGGAAAAGGTTTTTTGTTTGCTTTTAAAATAGAACATTTTTAAATTACCAGATAATCCTTCATTCAACTCCCTGGTTCTGAGGGCAGCAAAAGAACAACATTCTTATCATAGTAAGCAACGAGAAAGATAGGAAAAGTCGGCTTTCCATGACATGAACTATTTTTTTCCTACCCTGGTGAAAAATTAGAAGCTGAAAAGCACGAAAAACATGCTGATCTTTAATTTTAAATTGCCAACTTTTCAGCAGGTGTAGAGCAAAAAGCATGGAGCATCAAAACCATCAAGTCCTTCTATTCTAGTTTAGAAGTGCTAGGAAAGAACAACTCAAATACATTGTGGAGTGTTACATACTGTGTTTTGTATAGCAGCCACTAATCTCCTGCACCTTGTATTAGACAGGTCTTCCCAAAGTAAAGTTATTACACATTAGGTGCTTAAGATTCTGTCAATAGTAGTACCTATGGCAAACAGACAATGTGACTTCAAACAGAAACAGAAAAAGTAGTCCAATTTACAAACATACAAACTGCAACTCAAAAGACTTTAAGAATCAAGAAAATTGTCAACAATACAGGCAACCCCCCCCCCCCCCCAAAAGAAAAAAAAGGTTACATAAGTAAACAAGCTGCTAGGCCCTAGAGGCACTAACAGACCTTAAGGAGACCTTAAGGGCCCTGAGCAGCCCCAGCTGGGGCCCCCACCCACATGTGCCCTTGACCCTAGGGCTGTATTTAAGCTCAGCCTGGGGCTTGTTCCAGTGATGTAGTAACAGTGCTGGGCTTGGGCTCTACCCCTGCCTAGCCATGGGTCCTGCTAATCTGGACCCTGACCTGTGGACTGACTACTCAGCCTAGGTGCCTGATGCTGGGGGCTGCCCCTAGCCTGCCCCACTCCCTTGCTGGCATAGGGAGTCCTGGTGGCTCCTGGGTTTGTGCCCTGGCAGAGGGCTGGACAAGAACTTGGAAGAAAGGTCAGTATCAGCTTAGCAAATAGATTGCAACAAGTCTAGGAAAATCCTTGAGCTGAAAATGGTTACAGGATGGCAGAATATTATGGGGAAGTATCATACATGCTTTATCTGTTCTTACTCTTCAAGTTGTCTGCTTGTGGCCAGTGCTAGAGATAGGATATGTGGTTAGATGGACCATGGTCTGAAGTGGTATGACCTTTCTTCTGCTCTCTGAGAGACAGCAATGTGGAAAAATGCATAACTATATTACCCTGGAGATGATGTAATGAAAATGATTAAGGGAGCTAAATTGAGTAACATAGGCAAGGTTAAATATGACAAATGTAACTTTTGCTTGACTTAGCAAGCTTTTGTCTTAACTTTGGGATATGATTTTATTTTTTCCTATCCATAATATAAGTAAAATATAGTTTTAGTCAAACTGTAAACTAATGGCTTATTAATCTTCTAAATGATAGCTCAAATAACTTATTGATAAGAGGGCATTTCTCTACTGGATAAACTAATACAAAGCTAGCATGAAGGTGTGTTCTTACTTTCTCACTCCTTTAGTGTACAACAAAAGAATTAATGAAGCTTTCTGTAACAGGTGAGATGGATGTGAATGGAGTAGAAGAATTCTTTTTAAGAGTCTTCACTTAATGCAACTGTTTGCATAGCTAAAACAAAGTGAACGCCTAGTGAATAAGGTATGGATTAGATGCCATTTTCTCCAGTTCTACTTCAGCTCAGATATGAGTGACACTAATGTGTTGGCAACACCTTTTTGTTCTGTTTCTACAACTCTGTACAAAAAGCCACCACCTACAGAAAAGGTGGGGTTCTGGCTGCCTTGAGTACAGAATGGGTGTGGGACATCTACAGCTGAAGCATGAGCTTGGAAGGTGCTGATGAGATAAAAGGGCATAAACCCTTGAGCTTACCAGGATTAGTCACTTTAATACCAGAAATGCAGGAAGCATAAACCCATTCATGAACATATCATTCACCACTGTGTAACTCATCCTCTGGGAGGTGTTTTGTTGATATTTGGATGGGCCAAGAAGCCTTCCTGAAAGGAATCAATTTGTCAAAGAGCTACTTAAGCTTTGTGCCATCTTTGTAGAGTCAGTGGAGACTGAGGGTAAGGTATCACATCTATCTATCCACTACCAGCTTATGAGGTTCAGCTTTCAGGATTCAATACTACAGGACAAGGAAGGCGCAGGTCTTGGATGACAGCTAGGGAGAAGCCTGCTGGACCTCAAGCCATGCTTAAGGATCAGGCTGCATCTGGAATGGTAACACAAGGACAGGAAGAACTGAAACCTGGGAAAAGAGGGTAAGAACCTACAGGGCCCACGAATGAAACTTCCTATCCAGGGGTCTCCTACTAGAAGCTGACTCATCCTTATGTGGAAAGGTTACTGGGCAGCATTGCTCTTCAGTGGTTTTTATCTGCTACTGACTGACATGTTATTGCAAACATACAAAAGAAAGATGTGTTTGTACAAGTGCTCAATTCTCTCCTAAGGAGAGATGTTGTCAATGATAATCAACTAGTTCAGCTTTCATTCAACCGAATGATCTGAACATACTATATGAAACAATACACCTGTATTTGGGCAAGAGCTGGTAACTGAGAAGCAAGTACTGAATCCTTGTCAAAATATTAAATGCATTTCTAGTCCTCTGAAATGGCTGGGATTTTACCAAGCCCTTCACTGGTGTCCCAGGGTGGAGTTTAAAGCATTGTATTGGTAACATCCAGATTTGACTATTGTGCATCACACTCTTGCATGGAAGAATAATACTTGCTAAGCTCTTAGTTATGCATGGATGAGTCTGTGTGTCAACCAATGCAAGATAGTCCTTGCAGACTAAGATACTTTTATTTCCATCCACTCTGTTTACTTGCAGTAAAACCAATTAAACTATCACCAGTAACAACAGTGGTAGCTATGTTAATAAAAGCACATGTTTGGCAGGTTCCTAATGAATTATTTCACTTCTTTCATTCTACTGTGATAACAGTCCTGCTGCATGCAAGTTCCTGAAAGG